TTTGCGAAGAGAGCAGCGGGCCTTCCTGTAAAAAAAAAAAAAATAAGTGGGGGGCTGGAGAGATGGCTCAGAGTTTGAGAACATTGCCTACTCTTCCAAAGGTCCTAAGCTCGGTTCCCAGTGACCACATGGTGGCTCACAACCATCTATAATGAGGTCTGGTGCCCTCTTCTGGCCTTCAGGCATACAAACAGATGGAATGTTGTGTACATAATAAATAAATATTAAAAAAAAATAAAAAGTAAATAAAAAAGTGTAATATTTATTCATTACAATACACCATAATCACACCTGGTGGCTTCTTGTATGTCTTTCCTGAGGTACCACAGACAAGAACTTGTGGTTTTTGTTTGTTTATTTTGATTTCTGTATGCCCATTTGTTTTATTTTTAAAGCTTTATTACTTAAGAAATTCATCAATTTTTAATTTATTTTCATATCATTGTTAAACATTGTGTATATAAAACACATGTATGAAGTTCAAAGTTTTCAAAACATGGAAGTATGTATACAAACAGGCAAACAATTCCCCCCTACACACACACACACACACACACACACACACACACACAACACATACAATTTTTCTTCCAGAAAGAATTTTTAAAACTTTGTTCAAAGTCTTTCAAATAGCTTGCAGTTGCATCTTTGTCTATGTGTTTAGGAAACAGGAGAAATCAGCTTTCTATTGTATGTGAGGAAAAAGTTCAGTGATGGCCTCACAGTCCAGTGGAAGCAGGTAGTGGCACCTCATTGCATACATGAATGTGACTTGAAAACATGTAAGTATGTATATGTGTGACTATACACGTGTGTATTTATTGTCACAGATACCATATGGAGTCAGATACCGAAAAAGGTAACCAGGTTATTGTGTTGTTGTTGTTCTGTTTGTTTGTTTGTTTGTTTTGCAGAGGTGTATATTTAATTCCCATATTTGGCTATTTTAAATAAGTGACCACTTTTTTTTAAAAAAATTGTTTTAAGATATCTAAAATTCTGAAACTTGTTAGATCCCATACACCAGGGTAGAAAGTAAGCGCCCAAGAATTGTCATCTTGCTTGACTGTCTCAAAGGGATGCGCTGTGACTCACAGTACATTTCCTATTTTTGTTACCTGGGTTTCTCTCAACATGAATAAATTACATTCAAAACAGTTACACTTCTAATAAAACTAAGAACAACAGTTTTAAAGCTGTGTTGCTAATATTTCTTTCTACATTCGTTTTCAACCTATTGTTTAAAGATTTCACCTAAAGCACATGGCAAACACAAGGGTCACTGCTGCCACTTGGTGTGGCTGAGTTTATGCTCTAGGTTTCACAGCAGTCTGTAAAACAATAACAGGTACCCAGCGGGCCAGTGCATCCCCAGTTGGCTTTCTCACCATGCCCTGCTCTTTCCCCCTGGGGAAGCTCTGAGCTTGGAAGGGCATCAAGTCTCTCAAGTCACGGTCACTCACCATTTCTGTTAGAAACAAGTAATTTCATCCTTAGAAGACGCTCTTCAAAACAGCTACGTCCCCCACTGGGCATCTTTAATTTCCCGAATGACCTTTATGTTTTGAGTAAACAGCCTCATTTAAGGACAAGGACTTCAGCTTACTTCAGAGTTGTATGACTCTAGAGTGAAGACAAGAACAAAATAATCACATACACGCAGCTTTATTTTATTTATTTTTTTCATTTTCTTAAGAAGAAGCAGTACTGATTCTGAAGATCAAGGTTTAATTTTATATTTTGCCTTTGTGATGCTGTGAGACCCTCTGCCCTGCCACTCAAAGAATTTTGATTGATTCATGAATATATCAGACTAAGCTAAGATCTGAAATCTCATGATCAATACCATGTGGTGGAGGCACATACCTTTAATCCCAGCACTTGTGAGGCAGAGGCGGGCAGATTTCTGAGTGTGAGGCCAGCCTGGTCTACAGAGTAAATTCCAGGACAGCCAAGTCTACATAAAGAAACCTTGTTTGGAAAAAAAAAAGCAAACAAACAAAAATAGTTTAAACTCCATGATCAGATCCAAGATTCTTTTACTTTTGGCAACCCTGTCCATTCTGCCTTCAGCTCTCTTGAATCCTTTCTGATGCAGTTGTCATTTCTTTCTCATTTCCTTGCTTGATGTGTTTTCTATCTGGTCCATGTGATGGGGAAGCCTGGTGACAGGACACAGAGCCTGGTGACAGGATTCAGCTAGGTGTTCTCCAGCGGTAGACATGGTGGAGCTGAGCTATAGTAGGGCTTTGAAAGAACGCTGAAAAAGTCTGACTTGCTAGCCAGGTTTTATTCCCCAGAATCTTCTCGTTGGGTAATAGATCCTTTTCTCCAGCCATGCTCAGTGCTTTATAATCTGCAGTAGACATTCTCTGAAATGTAAAGCCATCGTCAGAGTTATGGGGTTTGGGTTAATAAACACTGATGGCCATTCATTATCAAATGTGCTAGGCATCCTTCTTAGGGATATTTGAATTTCAGGCAATTCACCATTCCCATTAAAAAAAATAAGAACCCTAGACTTTCACACAGCCTGGAAAGAAGGTTAAACCCTGAAATACATAAGTCAGCTTCTGCCCACAGGAAATACTACAGAAAAAGTGTTAACAGTTAAATACAGAAAACATAGAAGTCTCAGTCCTTGGTATAAGTGTTTTGTTCTATGCTCTGCTATTTTTGAAACAAGACTTTGTATTCATCTTGAAACATTTTACAATTGCACTAAACCCACAAATTCCCAAGTCCCTTTTCTGTTTATATATAAAAATATAAACAGCTTGAATTTGATATATTCTTCATTTTTTACCTGCTTGGCTCAACAACATGACAAGCAGTTGGTACAGAATATCTATATATGACAAGTCTGCTTGGCACTGGGCAGACACTTAGTGAAAGCTGTGCAGCAGACACCCAGCATTAGTGCCAGGGGCTGTATTCTGACAGTGCTCTAAGTGTGTCGTGTGTGCAAGGTCCACTATGTGACTGCTTCACTATCCTGAGTTCATCTGCAAGGCACAAGCTTAAGGGTTGCACAGCGAGCCCAAATGATACCGTTCTACACTGACACAGTGAGACTAGGCTGGGGGTCTCTATCCAATGAAAAGGCCTATTCCTATGTGCTGCTTTGCCCTTTATATTTGCAAAATGGGTGTTGGTTTTAACTTCAAATGGAATAACTTGTACAAATCATAAAACTGAGACTTCTTGTGGAAATGTGCAGTGTTTCTGTTTGTACTCAGAGTCCAGCATGGTGTAAAGTCCAGGTGTGTCCTTCAAACACTTGGCATCTATGTCCCTTATGGTCACTGATGGGCATAGTCAGTCAGCAGAATCTTTTCCTACCCTGAGAAATATGGCTAGAGATGTTTAGATGGAATTTAGCTACAGACTTGGGATATTGTGTGGAGCAAGTATATGTGTGTATTCATATATGTATACATATATATGCGTATGTGGGGTAGGATAGAAAGAACAGTTGTCTTTTTCTCTTCAGATTCTCTTTTGCTAAATGAGATAATGATTTAATTATATAAAAATGTTTAATGTACTATGTTCATGATTCATTTTAACTAACTACTCTATAAAGTCATTCTTCTCCACCTACAGTATCTACTGAAAGTAAGAACATGGATGATTTTGTTACACTGTTTAGTTTCTGAGGATTGGGGCTCACTTATATAAATATAATGACGTGCTCAATTTTGAATATCCATTCTGATCACAGTAACATCAGACTACCTGATTGTGGATATTTTAATATTGAATCAAAACTTATTGTACATGTGTCAATAAAAAAATGTTGAGCTCTGTCTCAAGGTAAATGGTTGTTCTTGGTGATTTGTACATCTTAAAAGATTCATGTCCAAGGATTGCTCAGTAGCAATTGCCCTAAGGCTGTAAGGACTGCCAAGCTATATAGAACGAAGCTTTTATTGTTTAAAAGTTGTGCAGACAAGAGGTATGTTTGCCCTAGAGTTCTTACACCTTTTCCTTTTCATATCTCAAGAATCCTCAGTAGAATATGTCAAGGTCAAAAACATAAAGTGCTAACCAGGGAACCCCAGGGAAAGCGAATCTCTGAACATAACAGCTGGCTTTCTAAAAGCAAAGGCCCTGCTGACTTGGCAACTTATATTGTTGTGGTGCTCTTTGGAAAGCCATGAAGTCCTTGACAGGTGAAAGCAGAAAACAAAAGGGCAAGAACAATGAAGGCAGAAGTGATAAGTGTAAAATAATACTAGCGAGCAAGGGAGAGAGGAAAGAAATAGAGAGGAAGGAGGGCACCTAAAAATACAAAGACTGAAACAGTTCCTTCATGTTAGAAAATAAGTATCATTTTCAGCACACTTGAAACTTTCAAAATTTGAACAACGTATTTCAAAACTTACCACAGTTTGTCACCAGCATTAAGACTGCCCTTCTAATGCCCAGTCTCTGTTGAAATGGGATGCATGAATGTTGATTGAAGGGCTCTAGAATAGCACAGTACAGACGTGCACATAAACGGAAAACATAAATGCAAAAGTGCTCGCATGGGACTGTAATGATAAGATGCAAGTGAACTGTGTTTCTTTAAAGGTTTTCTATCAGGGTATTTCAGACTTACTGCACTAGAAAATCTAGCTGGACTTACTTAGCTTTGAAAGTTTAGGGGTTCATACTGATTGTCAGGGAACTGTGTCCCTTCTCGCAACTTTTCATCTAATTTTCTGGTATTTCAATAAAGAAAAACGGAATCAAAACAATATTGAGAACCTACTACAAAACCGTTAATATCATTTGAATCCCAGAACTTATAATGATTGATGTGCATATCATTCCCAGCTTAACAGTTTCTTACAGAAACTTCCTGTCTAATAGAGATATCTTAATATATGCTTTAAAGCAATGACGGAGAATGGTGTTCCCTGTCACATGGTCCTTTTTATTATGTGAAAAAGTATGCAAGCCCTTGAAATTATTTTCTGCTTCCCCATCTTGCTTTTTTGTTGTTGTTATAGCGGAAAATGGCCCCCGTCTCCTTGTGGAAGCAGAACAAGCCAAAGTCTTCTCACACAGAGGTGGCAATGTGACGCTACCGTGTACATTTTACCGAGACCCTACAGCATTTGGCTCAGGAATCCACAAAATCCGCATCAAGTGGACCAAGCTGACTTCGGATTACCTCAGGGAGGTGGATGTCTTTGTTTCCATGGGCTATCACAAGAAGACCTACGGTGCATATCAGGGTCGAGTGTTTCTGAAGGGAGGTAGTGACAATGACGCCTCCCTGGTCATCACAGACCTCACCCTGGAAGATTATGGGAGATACAAGTGTGAGGTGATTGAAGGACTGGAAGACGATACTGCTGTGGTAGCACTGGAGCTGCAAGGTAGGCATTCAGAAAACCTGTTAACTTTGAAGGAATATCTAGTCACTACTCTTTTGTTTTCATGAGATGACTTGTAGTGGTTACTGCAGTAATAATGTGAGGACCCAAAAGTCTAAGCCTAGCAAATTTTTATTCTTTTTCTGCATATGATTTCAGCTTTCATGTTTGAGATGTACTCAGAATACTTCTTTGCAAGATTGAAGCTATTTACAAGGAGAAACGTGTAATGAAACTGAATTAATCATTTTTGGAAATAGCCTTATGCTATTCAAAACTTAAATCCCGTTTTATGGTTATTGAGAAATTCTAATTAGATTCTTTTTGATTACGCTTCTAAAATTATCTCCATTTCAAACTAATAGTAAGATTTGTAAAGGACATCTGCAGTACAATACATGTAATTGTATTCTGTAAAATGTCTGCAAAAATTAATTTGACAAAAAAAGTAACCTCTGGGTTTACTTAAATATTCTGGCAAAGGAGTAATTCTTTTAATGGCCTAAGGTCTTTTAGACATCAAATATCAAATAATAGAGGCATTTGGGGAGGATTTCTATTTTTTTAATATATTGCAGTCAATAGGTTCAAAAGTCACCACGTGGACAAAGCTATACAAGCAAACGTGCTCTTGCCTTTATCTTGCTTCTTCTCAGTCATCACTCTAAGAAAAGGTTTGTGCTGAGAGTTGTACAGTTTAAGCCGTCTTATTTTCCTGAGTTTCACCAGTGTTCTATACTGAAGAATGAAACTGACTGCATTAACAGGCTGATTTCCTTCACAAAATCACAGATCTGTGTTTGCTAGAAGATTTTATCCCATCCTAGAACAAATTGGTGGCTTTTGAAAATGATAACACTGAACACTGGCCCTCCTGAATCCCGCCAGATTCCATTAGGCATTTAGAGTTTCGTCAGTTTCCTCTTGCTGATGAAACCCAGCATGTAAAGAAGTTCAGTGTGACATATAGACTGGTGGGCCTATTAATCCTGACATGGGACGCATTTTACTTTTAACTTTTTTAAATAAAAAGTTAATAATTAAACTTTTACAGAAAATAATAAAATGTTAACAAAAGGCTTGTGACTTTCTAGAAAGACTATGTGACATTAAGTTAAAATAGAAAACAACTTAAAAATAAATATAGTATATTGGATTTGGAAATAAATCAATCATATTGCAGATAATCAAGGACTAATGAAAATTTTCTAGTGCCCATGAGAAACACCATGACCTATGACACACAATAGTGAATTTAAATCTGAAAGATTTCCTGGGTCTTTAAAGCTATTACAAATTAAAGCATCCTATATTTTCCACTGTTTCCATTATAAACCATTTGGAAAAGAAGAGGTGACACAAATTGTTTCTATCTTCAGATAAAGATGTTGGGAGGTTTTTTGTCCCTTGAATTCTAGCTACCAAGAGAGTCATTGCGCCATGGATTATTATCCTTCTTGGGCACACATCTGGGATTACTAAGAAAAGAGAACAAACGATATGAGGTACAGAAAGTACTGTAGAACTTCTATTCTGGGGTACACTGTGGTCCCAGTTGGGCAGGGGCAGGGCATCCTTAGAGCCATCTCCAGGCTCTTTCTCCCACTTACAGCAGCGGGAGTCAGAGGTTTGCCTTCTTCCTTTGGCTCTGGTCCAGCTGACAGATCCCTCAGCCAAGAACCTGAGAAAGCAGGGTGAGATCAGAAAGCCTTCTTGGATCCTCGCCTGCAGTAACCTGCGCCAGCTGGACTGGTCTAGAGGGACAAGGGACGAGACTTGATTTAAAGCCTCAAAGTCCTCTTGTAGAAATGTCCAGGATCATTTATAAAAGAACACGCTGGCCATGCCTGGTTGTTAGAGAACTGTACACCATCTTGAACAGGATCTACAGATTTGTAAAAAGAACTTAACGCCCATACAGTTACCCAGGGAGACAAGATGCTTGCATTCCATCTGCTAAGATACTAATTAGTTGTAGTAATATTTCTAAGAATGTTTTCTCTGGATTATCTTTGTTTAACTATAAGGTAAACATTTTGACAGATGCCTTCTTTAATAAGCAGTAAGTGACACAATCTGAATACTTGGGTATCCATCCAGTTAAAAAAGAAAAGTATATGAGACAGCACTCAATCTCCCCCAATAATTATTTGACCAAAAGAAATGCTTTCTGAAGACCATTGTGTCTTCCCAGACACAGTCAAATGCCAATTCATGGTCTTTGCATTTACGAAGGGATTGTTCTCTGAAATACTTGACTCTTCGGGATTAACCAGTCAGTTAATGGATGTACTCATCTTTCATGGCATGAGTCAAAGGAAACATTTTTTTGTCTATTTATATTGAAAGAATTTTGAAACCTTGGCTTTAGCTTGTAATATAATATATAAATAGAGAAACTAAGAATGAAACATATTTTCAGTAGTATTATTTTTATTCTCAATTGGCTTTGCTTGCCTGGCCTTTACATAAGTAATATTAGAAATGTATTAAGTAGAAGCCCCTGTTTTAACTGTTTTAAGGTCAGGAAAAAACAATTAAGGAATACATTAAAGTTGAAACAAAGATTTATAATGCTTCTCATGGGGTATGCCTTACTAGCACAGAATTGCCTTATTAATATAACATATAGCTAATGAAGCTTTTTTTAGATATGCACATTCAAGTTTCTCCAAATAAAAATCCCAAGGAGACAGTCACTTCCTTGCATGGCTTCAGGAGCACATGTGGAAATAGATGGATATGCATATTTGAAGCATTCAACATATGTCTTTATTTGAATTGAAAACTACAGGAAACTACTTGCTAACTCCATAATAGTAATGAATATTAAAAAAATTTGAATTTTTTAAAAAATATCATGTACAAGCATCCCCCACCACCCTTACTATTTATTATTGACTTTTCCCTTTCTAGAAAAGTTCCACAGCATCTCTTTTGGGGTTTATATTCAGTAGCAGGAAACATGTTTTTAGGACACTACATAGACACTATAACTCAGGGCTGCATCTCTTCCAGAAGAGAGAAATTTTGAGCATAAGTTGAGCTCTTGGCAGCAGAGGCAAATCATTGAAGTTGTCAGTCCAAGTAAGAAAGAGCAAATTGTGTGATGCTTACAATAAAGTGTGCCACAAAAAGGGGCTGTGAGAAACTGTTGAGAGCTGATAAAACCTAGTTCATCCGGGAATTGTAGTGATAGGAGTGGCGGGGCTGCTTTCCCGGCACCCAGCCGCCCGCATGGCTAGCTTATGCCCGGAATAATTACACGGAAACTGTATTCTTTTAAACACTGCCTGGCCCGTTATCTGTAGCCTCCTATTGGTTAGCTCTTACATATTAATCTAACCCATTTCTAATAATCTGTGTAGTGTGTAGCCCATGAGCTGGCTTACCAGGGAAGATCTTAACCTGTGTCTGTCTGGAGTGGGAGAATCATGGCGACTTATGACTCAGCTTCTTTCTCCCAGCATCCTGTTCTGTTTTCTCCGCCTACCTAAGGGTTGGCCTATCAAATGGGCCTAGGCAGTTTCTTTATTAGTAAGAAATCACTCCCACATCAGGGAATCCCACATTTTCTCCACACCTATCTGAACATGAAAATGCTCAGGGTTCTAACACTAATGACCCTTCCCTTGTCTTCTTTGGACAGGTGTAGTGTTCCCTTACTTTCCACGGCTGGGACGCTACAATCTTAACTTCCATGAGGCACGGCAGGCTTGCCTGGACCAGGATGCTGTGATTGCGTCCTTCGACCAGCTGTATGATGCCTGGCGAGGTGGGCTGGACTGGTGCAATGCTGGCTGGCTCAGTGACGGATCTGTGCAGTACCCTATCACCAAACCACGCGAGCCCTGTGGGGGCCAAAACACAGTGCCTGGTGTCAGGAACTATGGGTTCTGGGACAAAGATAAAAGCAGATATGATGTTTTCTGCTTTACATCCAACTTCAATGGTAAGATGGTAGCTGCGTTGCCTTCCTTTCTAGTCCAGATAACAAGTTGTATTAAAACACTGTTTGGATTTCTGTGTTATCTTCGAAAAACAAAACTAAATAGCAGCAATAAAAAACAACCACATAATGTATTACTATATTTTAAAAAGATGGATAAAATATTCTTGAATCTTGAATGTCATATTTTTTTTAATATCTACATAAAGCAGACAAAGCTACCTTCCTCTGGTTCTCCTACAGTTTAGCCATTCTGATTTGTGAAGCGGCTGAAGCTGTTGTATGATATGTGCCACTTTGCCATGGTGTACTATCCCTGCACCGTTGATCTCTTTGCTGAAGGCAGGAGCTTCTCTGCCATGCATGCCCTCCCTTGCCCAGTCATGGTGTTGTTATCAGCAAAGTTCAGGCCAAAGGGGAAACTGAGCAAGACAAGTAAAGTACAACTAGCATTGGGAGAGAAAGGTGGGTAAAGGCTTCCACGATGTATGACTGACTCACGGCATTCCTCCCATCCAGCCCTTTGGGCATGTCGTCCTGAACATAATCTCAGGGACTATCATAAAATGAAAATGCAGGATCCTTTATTCAAAATTGATTAATAATTTTAAGGCATATTATGGTACAAGCCTGTAATCTCATCATTTGGTAGTCTGAGGTAGGAGGACTATAAATTCAAGGCCAGCCTGAACTATTCAGTGACATTGTCTCAAATGAACAAAGGCAAAATCAAAAATCACCCAAAGAATTTTAAGACTGCAGAACCTCAACACACACATGGGGCCTTGTTATGATTTAGCCAGAGCAAATGCACAAGTCACATGCCTGTGAGTCAGACTCTGAGCCCATATTTTTATATATTTAAGGGGAAAACCGAAATGTGTGGTCACTATGCTATCTCTTTTAAAAGAGAGAAACCAGATGGGAAACAGTTTTATTTTGCTGACCACTTGGTCACTGTCACCCAGCAGAGCTCTGACTGTTGTAGCTCTATCTGTCACAGTACTGAAGTCGTTCATGGTGCTGAACAGATGGATATGCTGCCCAGGCAAACTTCATCCTCAAACACGTAGAGGTCAGACTTGAACTGATGTACTATGGTTTGCTGATCCGTACAGTTGGCAGACTTAACTCTAGTTAATGAATGTTGTAGTGTCTTCTATGCTTCTTCCAAATCTCATTAATTTAGGGAAGAAAGAACCGTAGCATTAGTTTAGACTTTGGCTGCCAATCTTGGGATAGGAAGGGGAGGACATCTCAGTTGTAAAACACTTGCCTCCCATACAGGAAGAGATATGTTCAGTTCTAAAAACTCATAATTGAAATCCCAGATATTGTACTGGGTGCAGTTATAATCCCAGCAATGGGGAAGCAGAAACAAGGGGATCCCTGGGACTCACTGACCAGCTAGGCTAGTTTTTAATGAGAGGCCTTGTATCAAAAGACATAAAGAGCATTTCTAAGTGTGACACCAAGGATGGTCCCTCTAGCAGCCATGTGCACATATTCAAAACCATAAACAAATGTACACACACACACACACAAGAGCACCACACTTAATGAGGGCTAGTGGACACTACATTATATGGTGTGTCGGATAAGGAAATGTGATATTATACTTGAAACTAAGACAAACGAAAATATATTCAGCAAATGCTGCTGGAGTCAATTGATAATACAGTTTGTAAATTTTATCATATTTCACTGTGTTAATGGGATCCCAGTAACTAATACTGCAGTAAGTGGTTGGAAGTAACAGTGTCCCTATGCGATGAAGCAGCAGCCTGGGAAGTTGTTTTAAAGCATCCACAAAGGCCTTGACTACTAAGGGAGTGCAGGCCCGGTTTGCATTCAGTGAGCGTATCATTGATGGCGAGTGACTTCCTGTGTTTGATGCATTTTTATGCTACACGCTTTGGTTGAGAATAAGGTCTTATTGATACCTGTAATGAAAAGAACTTGAGGGCTTTTGATTTTCTTAAATGGACTTTTATGTCAGGAACGTTTTTTGATCCTTTCACATTCAAATTTTGCCTCTCTAGAAACTCGTACTGGGGTTCAGTCTTGCTACAAGTAGAATTTCAATGGCCCTTCTTTCGGTGTGGAATTCTGTCTTCCCTAGAATTACAGAAGGGCTCTTTTAGTCTCTAATTAGCTAACAGAAACTGCATCTGCCATTGCCCTTCTCTTTTTAATGCTATACAAGGGCATGTGTGAGCACATGCCAAGAAGCAAGGGGAAGGTGAATTTATTTCATCTAGAGTGACCTATTAATATGACATTGAGATGGCAATGCTATGTTCTCCAAATTTCAGATGTTGCTCTGTGCCTCCCCACTGAGAAGCACTTTAGCTTTTGGCTCCTTCCTTCTCTGTGGTTCTGTCCCAGGCTGACTCACTCTTTCTCCTTCTCTCCACAGGCCGATTTTACTACCTTATCCACCCCACCAAGCTCACCTACGATGAGGCGGTGCAAGCTTGTCTCAATGATGGTGCTCAGATTGCCAAAGTGGGCCAGATATTTGCTGCCTGGAATCTTCTGGGCTATGACCGTTGTGATGCTGGCTGGCTGGCGGATGGCAGTGTCCGCTACCCTATTTCTCGGCCAAGAAGGCGCTGCAGTCCTACCGAGGCGGCAGTACGTTTTGTGGGGTTCCCGGATAAAAAGCATAAGCTGTACGGGGTCTATTGCTTCAGAGCATACAACTGAGTGTGGCCTAGGAAGAGGCAGTTCTCAAGTCAGAGGGAACACGTGAAAGTTTTTCTGTTTTTGTTTTTGTTTTTAATATGAACTCATGCAAGTTACCAAAACTGTGATAACCCTTTTTCACTTACTGTAAAGAGTTGCTTTCATGAAGGCCAATTCATTCATTTGTTTTGTAAAGCTATCAGTCAGTGTATATTATAAATTAATATAACTATAAGGGAAGCTAAAAAAAAAAAAACAGGCTCCAGAGCCTGTTTTATGCTACATCATCCCAACAAAATGCCATTTCATGAATGGGGCATGCAATAGTCTCATAACCAGAATTGTGTTAGGGAAAAAAAGCAGCAACTTCCACAAGCACAAACTTTACATGTTTCTACAACTTTGACATGCACTCCACTAAACAAATTAGAACAGCAAATCTGAAATACATAAACTGGGATTCTGGGAGGTGCAAAAACTCAGTTTCACAAAAGAATAATGAACACTTTTCTAAAAATTAATACTTCAAGTCTCCAGGATCTAAAAAAGTTTACTATTTAAAATTCTACCTTTTTGACTAAAAAGAAAACCATATAGATTCAAATGCATAATAATAAAACCACAGTTAGAACTCCTAGATCAATCCATTTATATGAAGTATAGAATTATATACACAGATAATATTTTACCAATGAGAGATTGCTACCTTCTAATTAAAATTACCTATCAAAAAGAATTATTTTATCATTTTTGAGTAGCTTCACTGAGTTATATTTAAATTCTAAGGGATCTTTGCTAAGCAGTATTTAGAATTTACTCAGGGCAGTTGAAAAGATAAACTGCTGGACAGAAAAACATATAAAATGTAGCAGCTTGATTTTATGTTAGCTTATGAAACATTGTCTTATAAAATAATTTTAACCTATTTAATATTTCTCTCTTATTTACATTATATGACGAAAACCATCCAAATGAATCAATAACTCTACACTTGCTTAACTAAGAAATCAAGACTCAACATCCAAAATTGTTGTCCCTGCTTGCATACACAACAGAGACCCCAAATAGGAGCTGTGTTTAGGAGGGAAAAGTAAGATCATGCAGTTCTAAAGAGTCTTTCAAATAGAAAATAGAGTCACTGCCAGTTTCCTTTCTGGTTATCATTTGGCAGAAAAAAAATACTGATACTCACATCAAAGACTTTACAACTTCAAGCTTTAAGTGAAAAGTTGAGTTCAGGCTCAGAAAAAAAAATGACTTTCAGTATTAGCAAGCCCAATCTTAAATAAAGCTTTCTTTTTATGACTGCTGAGACCCCACAGGGACCAATATTTGTATTCAAGTAATTTTCTGATTTCCCATTGTTTCACAGAGAATTCTGGTGAGTGGGTCTTAGTATAATAATCTACTTCAACATAGCTGATGTACTGTCCTCGATGTTTTTTTTTTAATGTAGACTCCCCCCCCCCAATGAACATGACTAAATAAATCTGTTTCCTGAATTGACCGTGGTTGCATTTAAAACTCTGTAATAACTAAGCTTAGTCTATAGGCTTACATGTGTGGAAGGCACAGAGCAGTTTGAAGTCCATGGAATCATAACTATCATGATATACTATCTAGATAAAATATTATAAGTAAAACTAGCTCCTTTCTTTCAGATTCTTTAGTCTTAGAGCATGAGGATGCAGTTTTAAGTTAGGATACACAAATTACACAAGACTTTAAGGTCAAAGAGATGATGAGGCTTCATACAAACACTGCTGATTTATCTCAAACTTCTAAACTCAACACATATTGAAGATACTGAATGGTCTAAAATATAATGAATATTTTATTTAAGCAGGAGACTCTGAACACCTTATGGCAGGTCTATGCTCTTTAGAGGAAGACCATACTTGAACAATTATTACCTATATTATAGGAATTTTGTCAGAAATGCAAGTAGGAAAATTTTATATTGAAGTGGGTGCATTCTTTACAGTTATCTTCATAGAATTCCACACTTAAGTATAGTAGCATTTCTTAACTTTTGAATACTTAGTATAGGAAACGGTGCTGATCTAAATCTCCAAAGTGACTGTTAGCTGACTTACATCTGTGTCAATTGCATACCCTCTGTCCATTCCCTAGGATGAACACTGCTGAGCAGAGTTTTTATCTTCTGATTTTACACAAAGGACCAGATTCCTGATTCCCTTTGAACTCCTAATTAAAAGGGGGTCTTTTAATGGTCTCATCTTGCTGTTTTATTCCACCAAATATCTATTTTCATACTTCATATCTCTTTATGAATATCTTCAAGAGAGAAATTGTCTTAGCACAATTCCTAGCAGAAATCTGACATGACACTAATTCAGAAATCACTTTGTAGACTTCAAGATTTCCAGAGTATCAAAAGATAGATAGATTACAAAATGTTTTCATCATTTTGTCTTATGACATATAAAAAACAAATTATATCCACACATTTTACTGAAATTCCATCTGAAAAACTCTAAGCCAAAAAGAGCCAATTCATATAAATGAATACAATATAGGGATGAAGATAAGTTGTCATATGAACACTGGAAGCCATCTTTTAATGACTGCTGCCATATTTTGTCACAGCAACTTTTAGCCAAATGTAGTATTTGTAAATTTAAAATTTCTTTCATATAAAGGGGGCCGGCACCTGTTAGTGTTGTTTTATGCAATAAGATGGTCTCTTGTTATTGAGGCAATTAGTAGACTCAAATAAGATCCCCATTTGGTTGCTGGCAGCCATACTGGGTGTGTTGATTTCAGTACTCCTAAAAACAGACTTGTGTCATGGAGTAGCTGACCACTACAGAAAGAGGACTAGAAGGCAATCAGTCATCAAGTTTGGTTTAGCTTTGATTTTTTTTGTTTGTTTGTTTTCTTTTATTTGTTTGTTTCATTTTGGTTTTGCATAGAATACTTAGAGAAAAATCAATGGACAGCTGACAGGTTTTTTTTGTTTGTTTTTTTTTTTTTTTTTTTGAGAAGTTAACTGTGTCATAGCTTATGACTGCCAGAAGATCAGGGTCCAGAAAAAAAACATGAATAATACAGAAGTCATTAAGCCACCCAATTTAAATGCATTTCATAGCTAATAAGTACAAGTTTGAGGAGAACCAATCTGTATTACAAAAAGACTGTTTTCATTTTCTGTAAGATACAATGAACTGGTAACAAACATTAAAAGTCAATTTTGCTTTACTCCAGTATTATTTGATTCTTCTGGCTTGTAAAATCAGTCATTTTTCTTTGGGTCCAAGCTGGTAAATATATCAGCAATAGTCTGTTGCTAGTGTCATGCTTTGGATAAAAACACATCCCAATAACTTAGAGCTTTGACATTCAAACAAGGAAGAATACTTCACAATTCCCCTATACTTATCTGCAATACATTAAAAGCCTTGAAGAAAAAATCTTCCAAAAGAGAGGCCAATTAAATCTCATTTTAGTGTGTAAACTCTTTCAAAATGAGGGATATAATTTTTATTCTGTCATTGTTTTTCATATATTTTTAATCTTGTTTTAAACTAAGTCTGTGAGGCAGGGTGAGAGATCCAATTGAAGTCCTTAGTCCCCAAATAAAAGTAATTAAACCATTAAAGTGTGGTGTGTTACTTCTCTACCAAGGACATGACTTAATACTACAACCAGATGCATAAAAAGAGTAATAAGAGGGAGGGGTTATTGAGTGGCTTGTAGCCTACTGAATTTAAGAAGAAACTGACATACTGCTGTCTTCTACTTCAATTGTTCCGTCCCTTCATTTAGAATCTTTAAAGGTTCTGCAGCTTTATTTCTCAGTAGCTGGTGTGTGTGTGTGTGTGTGTGGTGTGTGTGTGGGGGTGTGTGTGTATGTATATATGTATATATGTATGTATATGATTTAGGTCTAGCCTGACTGGTTCATATGTTCCTGAGAAGAGGAATGTGGATTGAGGAAAGAAATAGATAAGAGACAGAAGATAGAATCAGGAGTGCCACTAGTGATTACTGTCGCAAAAAGCCCCGAGTTTATTACTCACAGTCCTTCCATACCCTAATCAAAAAGGGAGGGCACAAGACTTCCATGATACAAAGAACGAACAAGCAAGTGTAATTACCTCCTTACATCTCAAAACACCTGGTAACCACACCCTAAGTCAAACATCCTGTTCTCTGGCTTTTGAGGAGCAAAGCTCCCAGTAGCCACATCTTTAGTCAAACATCCTGTTGTTTGTCCTTGAGGAGCAAGAATGGTTTTGAACTCTCTGACCTTTAGCCCATATGGAACAGATGAAAAACTTTGGGCCTATACCCCACCCACCCACCCCCCACACACAAAATGTATACTATTTGATTCATGTTCTAAACTTAAGGGAAAAATTCATGACACATATCTTCTACAAGAAGCAAACATAAAATTCAAATTCATTTCACTATGTTTCTATATCTTTTTAAGGCCAGTAAGTGGTTACTTACATAGCCACTCACCATTTGAATATATTGGCAGGCCAAGGTAGAAGTCAATGGTTTATAAAATCAAGTAACTTTCCTTCCTTCAATCTACCTCTTCTACTCTTTCCCTCTGAGGTTGTCCACACAGCTCAAGCTCCAACTGTTAAAAGTGGGCTTTTTCACATAATAGATAACTGACTGTGTGACCATTGTTGATTTGGGAGAATACCCTCAAGGTGAAGATAAAGCTCAAGTTCTCATCTGCCTGGTAATTAAATTCTTGGATGATAAAAGACTTGTGATAGTATTAGTCCCAATATGTTTCTATCCAAGGAAACAAACCTGGAAATCATGTCTTTATTCCACTGAAAAATAGTTTTCCTTTTAAAAATACCTTATGTTTTCCATCAATGGAAATTCCTTGTGCCCAAATGCTATATTGAGAGAACAGAAAAAGAGTTTTAAAGCAAATAACTTTGAGGATTAATAAACTATCAAAGTGCTGTCTTTGAAAATAGTGAGACTCTTGTGTGTGAATCTAAGTGTACAGCTACAGAAACATTCAT